AAAATAGTGGAACCCTGGATGAGAGTGGTAGAGGAAAGCAGTCCGAGTATGAGGTGAAGTACGAGCCCTATCCCCACGATGTCGGATATGGAGACGAACGGGCCGCAGAGTTGAACCGGTCGTCGGGATGGCGCAACCGAGCTGAAATAAACCCGACCGGCTTCGAAAATGTCATTAGTCCTACGTTATTGCGCCGAGAAGAAGATCATTCCACCTTCGAGCGAAGAGCAAATCCGGACTTCGGCAGAGTCCGGGACACCTACGATGCTTGCAAAGGGAAGAAATTGGATAGTGAGCAGGGTGGGTCCATCAATGGGCTACACAGGGAGTGTGAGGCCGAAGGAATAGCATCCTCCGTGGGATACTATAATAGGACGATCTCTGATGAGTTGTATGATAGGATCGGCTATCAACAGACGTACTTACCAAGCGAAGACCATGAGCGTAGCGAGCAGACCCATTACGCGCGATCGGAGGGAGAAGACGAAGAACAGAGTCACGGATCGGTTGAGCAGTATGATGCTGTCGATACGGGTCACGGCGATACGGTTAGAGAGATGGGAAGTGAGCATCGCTCAGCGTACAGCTACTGCGAGGCTCACAACGAAGTCGCCACGGACATGCAAGAGAAAGAAAATTGTGATGATGGTGCGGCAAGTTCGGGCAACAAGGAGCAGAGCTCTCAGGAGGAGGGGGTCATCGTCCTTTCGCGGAAACATGATGGGAATACCAACTCGCCCGTTGGGACGCATGTCGATTGTTGGAGTGCCGCAGACCACAGGAGTGGGCATTCAGAAAAGGTCAGCAATATTGGGGAATCGAAGCCGAATGGACCTCGTCAGTACGACAAGCCCCATGTGCAGGAGGAGTGGGCAGCTCGAGAGGGGAAGCAAGCAGTCGACGAGAAACACGGAGAAGAGGCCGTGACTCAATCGATTACTGGCTGGCATCTCAGGGGTGAGTTCTGGTGTTCCGAGCACGGGCCAGGTCCTCTCAGAGTCCTTCGATCCAAGAAACGATCCCATTGCTCTCCCTGGAGTAGAGCTACTGGAGTTGTCAACTCGTGAAGCATCAGCTGAGGCAACCTCGACTGACTTCAAGTGAGCTGCTCGTAGTCTTGAAGGTTGCCTAGGACACTCCTTCTTGTCAGCCCCTGTGCCCTTTGTACAGAAGTCACTCGTGAGCCATGCGAGTTGTCCGGAATACGAGACTTTATCGCAGCGCAGATGTGGCAGGAGAGGACGGAGGTGAAGTTGCGGATGGAGGAGAGCCGAAGGCTTCGTGCAGTGGTTGTTGAGGAGCTAAGGAAACGTTCAGACGGAGCAAATAGGAACGAGATTGACGTCCAACGGTTTGATCCTGATGCTGCTACTAGCTTGCTCGATGCGACGACGGAGGAAAACGAGTCGGCTGAAGAGGAAATGGCGGATGATTATGTGGCGTATCGGACGAGAGGAGGAGTGCTAGTCGAGCTGGACCCTGATATCAATAGATTTGGGGATCCTGGATCAAAGTCTATACGAGAGTACTTCGTGGAGCGAAAACAGCCAGAAGCTAAGCAATGGAAACGTTCTCCGATACGAGCCAGACCGAGTTCAGCTGTGAGTGTAGCTATGCTTCTCTATTGAGAACCGGCTGACTACCAACCTCTCATGGATTGAGTACATCTGATGGACTTATCGTCGGGTTCCGATAGAATCCTCAGGCTGTCGCGTCCATTTCACGACTATCACCAAGTGAGAGTTCAAGAACGCTGGCTCTATCAGAGGGACCTGGGAGCAGGCTGTCTCGCGGTCTTCAGTAATCTCCCATCTCAATACGACAGCTTGCTTTTCGCGTGCTTTAGGCGCCCGTCCTCCTCCGTGTCGTCAGAGAGGCACGCTCCTTTGAATCGTGTGAGTAGCACGCACTTACAAACCACTAATTTGGGGGATAACAGGAAGATCGTCGTCAATGCCATAACTTGGGTATAAGGAGTGTCTGCCGCTCTGTCTGAGCTTTACCGCTCTCTCGCATTTTCAGGCTTTGCTCGGTGGTACTGTGAATCAAGAGAACAGGGAAGCAGTATTGAGTGCTACTACCAGCAGGTTTAAAAAATTAGTCATCCTGTTCAAGGACGAAGTCAGCGGACGTCAGGTTTATCGGTACACTTTGGTGTGCAACAAGCAAGAGGGAAGATGGGGCATACGGATACTGTCCGTGCGGCCCATCTTGCCAACTTTATCTACATTCCTGTATCAGCAATCATTGAGATCTCTCGCATTTTTGTTCTCATTATGAGAATCTCATATAAGAGTGTGCGGATCATCTGTGCGTATTTCTGGCTCTTTTCTAAGTCTTGTCTGGTCGCTGACGAGACTAATGCGCTAGAAGATGCCTCGAGCGTCTTCCCAGAACAAGTGGCATTCCTGTGCCATCATGCTTACCTACTCGCACTTCATCTCGTGATCAACCTTTGGAGTCGCTGTTCTTGGGCCTGTCGATTCCTTTGTATGCGTCAGGGCACTCTACGGCTTCGATTCGGGTGAGCAAGCGTTCAGGCGCTTACATTCGATGTCTAGCTCCCCTGCTATTCTCGAGGAGCGCCATATATCGAAAGCCTACCGGTGGGAGCTCGCGATGTCAATCGAAGATGGCCATCATAAATCTCTGCTGTTTCATTAGATACACCTCCAGCACGAGATCATTCAGGGAGATTCCTGGCCACCGTGCCTTGGACGCGGCGACTGACGCAGTTAGCCTCCGGCCACACCTATTGAAGGCCTCCGTCCGGCCGAGAAGCTATATATGACCATTTCCAAGTACCCTTCATGTCGTTACTCGTTGCACCTTGAGTTTCTCCAACCGTTGATTTATCAGAGAAGGGCGAAAGTTTCGCCGATAATATACAATGCATGGTTTCGCCGCGAAACCATGCGTTGTATATTATGTAGGGGAGATTTCAGCAGCAGAGATCAATTCACAGTAAGATTGAGTAGAACCTTGTCAAAATCACATTCCAGATGCTGGAGTCCATAAGAAATAATGTCTAATTTACGTATAGTCGATTTACATCTCAATCCATGTATATAACTTGTATTGTTCAGTCAAATAACTTTACTCTATCGCACAAACAGTTCGTCCGCAGTTTAACTGCTGTGAGCCTATGACAAAAGCAGGTTCGCGAATTCTTCGAGAATTCGACAACTTCTGCGAAGTTTGGGTCATTCATATTTCAGTGCCAGTCAAGCCCTCTGGGCCAAGGGTCAGACTACTATAATCGAACTTCCCTGATCATTGACCTGATGAGTTAGCAGTGCTAGCTACTCAACGTATTTTTGTGCAGCTCAGGCTGTGTCTCGCGCTTGCAAAGATTATAATCATCACTTCACCTACGGCTCCGTGGGAATAGAGGAATCTCCGGTATTACTGCAATTGCAGAGCAGAACTCGAGGAATTTTCCGAAAGGGGCATTATCTTATGAGTTCCTCCGCATTTCCCCAACAACTGACTAGCAACGAGAATACGAGGTGCTGAAAGGGTTCGAACACAATGGGAAGATAACGAACCTTATGCAATGAGCCTTGTGAAGTTGCGATCTACGAACAATATAAATTTCGGTCATGCACTCAATATCAAATTGATTGGAATAGTTGAACCTTTTCAACGAGACTTCAGTGATCAGCATCAGACACGGGAGCGCGCGCCGGAACGGTTTCATATCACCATGGAACTTCCATGATAGAAGTCCCATGATAGAACCTTTGATTGAGGTAGTGGCGACGCCTATTCCAGTAGAGTAATTTGAGCATCCACATAGAAGCTCGGAACATCCTGTCACTGAGTGAGTGACAACATTGGAATATCCTGGCAATAAGCTCTGGGGATCTCAGTGTTAGGAATACTTCAAGTGAAAGCCTCGCAGTACACCCGAATATCTCACGATCCCACAAGATATAGGCCCTTCATCATCATGTCCAATCGCTGGTCGCCGTCGAGCTAGTACCCATGATAGTCGGCTATACTTGATCAGTTATTTCACACGTGTTAACCATGCGGATCATCCGATTAGCCCCCCTGTTAGTCTCCACCATCTGTACGGTCGGTCAGGATACCGACTCGTGCTCTACGCCTGATGTCGCTAATGTTGGACGAGGGCCGACCCTCTTCAACAACCTCAATACATGTGTAACTACAACGGGTGGCTTCAACGATGCTGCTCTCGAATGCGTAGCGGCAAGCACCAACATCAGCGAGCTGTGTGCAAGTTGCTACTTCGAACTCTATTCGTGCGGTGCAACGACGTGCCAGCAGCCCTGCACGGAGCAGTTCTCTGCAGACTGTGTCGGTTGCAGCATGAGTGTATGCGGCGATGAGCTGCAGGTCTGTACAGGGACGCCCGGAGCTGTCCTCCCACCTCCCTTCACTACAAGCGATTTGACGTTGCCCACATCGGCTCCCGACGGTTCTGTTGTCAATCGGGTTCCCCATGGCCTATACGTTCTACCCGATTCAGACGAAGTTCATGTGTCGGTGAATATCGATAACGTTGCAAGCACTCTTGATACTGTCGTTAGGATCAATACGGACTCCCCGCTCATCCCACGAATAGATTCTCAGTGTGCTGACATGCCCTACACTTTCGATGCGAACAGGTCAGCAATCGCTGTGGACTTCGCCGAAGCGGTCTGCCTCAAGGGCGTCTATGATGACCTACGCACCGTGGCCCCTGGACTACCGGTGAGTCTGTTAACGATGCAGTACGACAAGGCCGCTAACACTCTATCCATGCCGTTGCTATCTGTATTCGTGCTCGAGAAAGATTCTAACACTTCTAGTCCCATACCGCCGTCGAACTCTTCAACCACCGTACCTCCACTGGGTGCGGAGACTCCGAACTCATCAGCGTCTACTGACGCCATTTGTCTGTCGTTAATCTGTTTTTCACTATACTTTCTTTTTTGAATTCAATCCTGTGAACAAGTATTCGATATTCTCAGTGTGGTGATCGTTATATATACAGTAAGTACTTGATATTCCATAGGCAAGTATAGATGGATATGCAGATCATATGCGGATGTTGTGTTTGGTTGGACCATTATTATACAAGAAATGCATACAGTGCACCTTAGGTTGATATCATTGATAGGAATGACTAAGCAGCGCAAGATTGTTTTGGATTAGTATATGAAAAAAGGGACATATACATGAGTTGGTGTTATTCCTCACCAATCGCTTCAAGTTGTTGCTCGCGGAGTTCCTCAACCCGCCTAAATAACATGGAAGAATAAGAAGATTTCTGTTCTCCACACGACCCACTCATAAACATCATTTGCTGCTCTTTGAAGATCATCAACCATTTGGAGACACTCATGCATCCCAGATGACACCTGATACCGAATCGTCTTGGAGAAAGACCAAATGTAGTTACGTCGATGCCCATTGTCTGTATCTTGAACAAGGCTTTTCCGGCCATGTGCTCGATAGAGGGCATTATCTCCTCAGAGGACTTGATCAATCTTCGTGAGATCATCAATGCCTGAATGGGAGACCTTGGTATCAACGAACAACTTCCATGGTTACCGCTAGACGGATAGCCGCGGTAACTCACCAGACTTCTCCGATCGGTTGACATGCTGGCACGTCTTAGATCAGCAACGGCTTGGTCCATGTCGAACTCGGTGGAGTCTTGCATGCCATCAGTCATCCCAATAGACACTTCAAGAGGTTCTCCTGTGCCACTTCGAGCAGCGCTCTGCAATGAAGTGAATGATAGACGGAATCGCAGAGTAGTGTAATCCACCCTAACCGCATCCTTCCCGTTATAGGCTTTGTAGAATATCTTAGCGTAAATACTGGGAGCATACCGGGCGAGTCTTCTCTTCACTTTCAACTTGACCATGAACCATTTCTTGAGCTGCGCCACGAAGCTCATCCTGAAGGTATTTATAAGGACAGCAAGTAGCGTACGGTGGACGAAGATGTGAGGCTCGACTCATCGCCTACACATCGTTCTCTCCCTCCTCAATGCCTCTGCCATTCGACACCTGATCGGACCGCAACCTACAGCCGGCAAAAAACGGGCGATTCCCCCGCTTACCTCATCACTGAGTCCAGCTAAGATGATGGCGAACATAAGGTTGGCCAAAAAGAAGTACACAACGACAATGTAGAAAAGCACTGCGACGGTCCCTACCTGCCGAGACACTATCGCTTCGAGGACGGTGACATTCCACTAACCACTGTTCTCTCAGCATAAATAAGATTCAGATCAGCATCTCTCAGGAAGCCGCGGGACAAGAAGAGGAACGTCTTCCCGAAAGTGGACAACTGAATGATGGTGGTCGGTCAAGGCAATTCATCGCGCCTGTACCTCATTGATGGAAGCCCCAAAAGCAACGTTGAATGCCGTGACAAAAGCGACGAATGTCGTGACGAACAGAACGATAAATGCTCCCCATTGCCGACAACCACCACGGAGCGACTTCAGTAGAAGTTTGATGTAAGGTAGAGGGGCGATGAACTTGAATAACTTCAGAAATATAGAAACTGGAGCACACGATCTCCTACGAATCTTGGTGTTCGCCACCTACGTGCGGTCAGCGCGTACATCTGCTCCGTTAAGCGATTGTCAAGTGCAATCTGCTGCAGGTCAGTGTAAACATTGGAGTCCTGGAGTTCAAGGACTCCGAGCTGTATTGCCGGCGGAGCGAAGTTATTCGTCCCGACGTCTAGGTTCTAGGAGTAGTTTTGCAGTGATAGTTGTATTGATTCTAGCATTACCGATGTCGTTGCGGATCCGGTGGTGTACGTGATGCGTGTTGCAGGAGTCGCTGAATAGATCTTGAGGCGAATGGCAAAGGCGGTAATGAGGAACACAAGGACAATCCAGTCTATGGTGTTCCATGGGTTTCTGGGAACAACAGTGCAGCTTTTCGAAAGATTAAATAGCTCTCTAGCGAGAAAGCGCCAGGGAGGGGATGAAAGCTTCTCAACATTTACTTGAAGTATTTCCACCGGGCCTTGGCAAGCTCTGAGGCTGCCTCTGCAACATAGTAAAGCATGAACATGACAACGATTACTTCTCCTGCCGTGGTCATGATTCTCAATACGGACGCGACTGGTCTCACCGAAAGTTGTCATCCACTCGCCGATACTTCCGAGGCCCTCAGGGGTGAGGAAAATCCTAGGCTGTAGGGTAGTGACGTGGACCTCGGATGAGACCAGCCCAGATGGACTGAACTCTATCGTAACGAGCACCTAGTATAAGATGACAGACCAGATGGATGTGGCAGGTTGCCTCACCACGCCGAAGAGACCGAGGTTATTGTTCCAGACGCCCATCTCTAAGAACACCGCTCGAGTCGATAAATCGACGAAATTGGCGATCTGGAGGAGTTCTGTTCGCCTGTCATAGTCGTCGGGATCGGTGGGTAGCTGCACCATGTATCCACCCGGAGGATACGTGGCGAACCTGACCTCTCGTCATTCAGAATTCACAGGTCTCGAACTGCTACTTTCCTTTATGGTTAGGAAGACTAGTGCTGACACCGTTGCTGTCAGTCGTAGCGTCATCATACTCGAACCAAAT